GGGCAACCTCTTCCAGTGCCTCACCACCCTCACAGGGAAGAGCTACTTCTTGATCTCTAATCTAAATCTACCCTTCTTCAGCTTAAGGCCATTCTGCCTTGTCCTATCACTCCACGCCCTTGTAAACAGTCCCTCTCCACCTTTCCTGTAGGCCCCTTCAGGTGCTGGAAGGCTGCTATAAGGTCTCCCCAGAGCCTTCTCTTCTCAACACTAAACCACCCCAACTCTCTCAGCCTGTCTTCATAGGAGAGGTGCTCCAGCCCTCTCATCATCTTTGTGACCCTCCTCTGGACTCGCTCCAACAGCTTGTACTGGGGACCCCAGAGCTGGACGCAGTACTCCAGGTGGGGTCTCATGAGAGCAGAGGTGGAGGATCACCTCCCTTGACCTGCTGATCACACTTCTTTTGTTGTGGCTCAGGATACAGTTGGCTTTCTGGGCTGCAAGCACCCATTGCTGGCTCATGTTGAGCTTCTCATTGACCAATGCCCCCAAGTCATCCTCGTCAGGGCTGCTCTCAATACTTGCACATAACTGTGTGTAGCATTATAGCATAGCATTATAGCATAGCATATAGCTCTGCAAATAGTAAGGGACTGCCCTGATGTAACACATTGATATTGCAGAGACTGAAAAATTATTTTTAGAAAGATATTAACCGCAGCATAAACATTTTTACATGTTTAAAGATTTTAATTTTTCCTACCCCAGGGATAGCACACAAACTGCAGTGATGTAGTTTCATGGTGGGAAACAATTGTTTTTTCTTTTTTTCCTCTTTAAACATCTGACTTAAAGGCAAACAAGTTGAACAAGAGCTGTTTGAGAATTTCTACATTATTATTCCTGGCCATTATAATTACCTGTGGATAACATTTCCTGTCATTGTATCAGACAAAAGTTTTTCTGCCGTATTCAGAAATGTATTTTGCTGTTTTCCGACTTTCTTATTTGCACAATAGTTGAACTAGTTGAAAATTATAACTTAATGAATTAAGCATAATCATTTATCTTCCTTTCACCCCTTCCCTATACTGATTTTCTTTTTATATGGGGAAAGCACAACTTCCGTTTAACTGATCATTTGCATTTTTCAGTCTATTTATCTAGTAGGCATACCAAATACAGAAGACAAACGTAGAAAAGGAGGAAACATCCTGCTGACTACTGCTGGTATGACTGTCTGCTTACTGCAGCTAAAATGTACACAGCACAAAATACAGTAGATGGAGGAAAGAATAACATATGAGAAGTAGTGGCTACAGAATAGGGCTTACTGGCCTGGACTTAAAACAATTACAAGATCTGATACATTCTGAATTGTGAAGAAATTATACATACTGCTTTCTCGTTACACCTAATTTTAATTACTTCAAAAAATGTATTAGTTTTAGTATTTAATACCTAGGGCAGTACGCTGTTCTGTCACGCAAATCAGCCTGACCTATGTAGCAATAACTATGCATCATTAAGAAAATAACTTTAAGTAACAACAAAAATCACAATTTATTTACAATGACAATGGCAGAACTCTGAAAGCAAACTGAGGCAAGAAAACTCCCTTTCCAAAATCTCAAATAGGCTGGTAGGTTGGTTTGATCTTTCCAGTGAAAAAAAACCCAGCCACCAGCAATTGGTTCACCTTTCTTCTTTGTATCACTGAATCAGCATTATGCAGAGAGGCAAGAAAGGTGGGCTTTACTTGCCAAGCAGGAAATGGAGCGGTCAGAAGAATAAAGTGCAGGGTATTAAGAGTACGATTACAGCACTTTAGCACGTCTGCGCAGCACTGCAAAGGGTGCCAGCTCTGTGGTGTTAACATGCTGGAATGGTGCTCACCTGAGTCAACACACCATGTTTTACAGCAGGTGGAACATCACAACAGTGCAGCTTCCCAGATCCCAAATCAAAGCTCCCTCAGTCTGTCAGGTCAAGTATTTCTGTGATGCTACAGTTAAATTTATTCTTAAAGAGTACAGCTGCAGATTCAAAACAGAAAACTTCGGGAGAAATAGATTAATTGGTCTTTAAACTCACCCCACAACCCAGTAATTCATTGTTGGTGGTGGTTTCTTCGGATCATTCCAGTTATCAGGAGAGCACTCAAACAAAATTCCATGTTCTTTTACCAGATCTAGGTCCTCATCTGCCTCGCTAAAGTCCGAAATCCCACTGCCTGCTTTTTTCTTCTTCTGTATTAAAAAAAATATATTGTTAAATGTTAGTATAGAATGAAATATTTTTATGTAAACACTAGCAAATATAACTATGTGATATATTCAGGAATCTCTGATTGCTGTCAAAAAACCAGACTTAGATACAACTAACTTGCTTACACAATTCTTTTCTCCTCAGTTTTGTTACTTTGGCATCAACAGGCTTTTCCATTGTTATACCACACAGAGGTAGACACATGCTCCCTTTTTTGATGGTTTTTTTTCCCTCCTAACTGAACGCTATTTCTCTAATAAGACATCTGAGAAATACAGGTTCTTTAAAGAAGTGTGTTACAACAGCTAAAGCTCTCATCTTTCTTTCTCTGTGTGCCTCCCTAATTAAGAACTGTGATAGTAAAACTCCATTGAATAAACTTGGCCAGGCAGGAATTTCTTTTTGTAAATAAAGAGTTGAAGCACTTTGCTCCAAGTGTTTTCTTGCGGTTACTCAGTATGAGTGCGTAAGATGTATATACAAGTAAGACATTTTCGTGTTTCGTTGAGTTTTTAGGGCTATGTTTTGTACGGAGCTTTTAAATAAACCTTATAAAAGTTCCAGTTGTTTCTAACTGAACTCATGGTACCTGTACGATGAGGACCAAACTGCATCTACTTTTCTCTCTTGGCTCTGTCTTGGTGCTCAGCAGTCCTATGGGTCCTATAAAGCCATGGTATCTTTCACCAGAAATGTGAGGGGAAAAAGACCAGAACGGACATGGAGATAAACACAGGAGGAATTGTGAAAGAGTTTGTCACTAGTTTAACTCTTCTCTCACTGACATCAAAGGAGGTTTATTGCTCTTTTGTAAATGGCTATGTAATAATGAAAAAAAAAGCTTGAAATACTTTTTTTTTTTCTTTTGAAGCATGAGAAATGAGATGAGATTATGGAAGCAGGAGCAGAAATCCCTCTGAAACAAAGTCTGTCTTAAGAGAGTTGCTAAGCCAGGGCATCTCTGGATCCACCAATGAAACTCCTGTTCCAATCAGTTGCTTCAAAGGTGAAAGAAAAGGGTTTTCCTGGAATAAAAAAAAAGTCTCAAGGAACTTCTGTCTGCCATGTGCACAAACAGAAACCACATCTTTCAGTCTGCCTACAATATTGAAGATGTGGGAGCTAAAGATCTTGAAGAGAAAAGATGGTCAACACATCACAACTATCTTAATTTCTCCAAAATGGGAGAAGAAGTGGTGAAATGCATCTTAGCATTTGAGAAACAAAATAGCTAATATTTGTCTGAGAGAGTGTCTTGTATTTCTCTAAACCTACTTTGGATTAAATTCATAAAGCTTATTCTAAATTACTACTAGTTCACAGAGTGGAAGAAATGCCACAATAGACAACAACTCTTCCTGTATCTTTCCTTCGCACATAAAATTGTTTCAAACCCTGTTCTTGCTAATACTGCTACTAAAAGAGATTTAAGGAATATGTTAGTACTCAGTCTAATAATCTTCCCCACCAACAATATGGGGTCATTATCATGCGATTTCCAAGCTGACATTTGTTTATATTTTAGCACATCTTACACTATATTATTCATACTGAAAATACTCAAGAAAAAGTACGTATTAAGAGTAGATGTTTGATAGAACTATGAGGGCCTGTACTTTCATATGCATTAAAACTTCTGTCCTTCTGATTTTATTTAAGAGTAAGAAAATACTAAGATGATGAAGAAGAAAGTGAGGCCAGGGCTGCTTATTACATACACTGACATATATTTTAGGGTTTAAGACTACAGAGCTTATTTTTGCTCAATTTAAAATTTACTCAAAACTTCTGTACACATTTAGAAATTAAATTGTGATTTTTCAGTTCTCAAAAGTGAGGCAAAATTAATTATTGATCAGTTTACAGTAGTTTTGCATTACTGGTACAATTCTCTGAATCCTAAATTATAAAATATTTAGCTGACGTGAAAGACTAAGTAGTATAATAATACATTTCTGTATTTGACTGTTTCGTAGCGCAGTATGAACAAAGAGAACTTCTATTCATTCTTTTACATTTTCCTCATGCCATAATGCAGCCTGCCAATTTCACCATTAATTGTTGGAGCCAACATGCAAAAACAACCTCAAATTTCTCTAAAAGAGAAACTTTGTTCTGTAGCACATGTTCATCAATTATTTCTGATTTTCAGAGCAGAATGAACCCAGCTGCTGCCTACTGTACTCACATCTGAAGAAGCCAGAAAAGCATGTGCTGAGGTAGCTGTGGCCAAAGCAGAAGTTTTGACTTTCAAGTGTGAGTTTTTCACTTTTTATGACCTACACCTAACAGTGCAATGGTTTCTTTATTCAGGGTTTTTTTGTTTGTTTGTTTGAACTATAAACTGTCTGTTTAACAGTTGTAACCAAAAGCAATTTAGTGATAAGAAACATTTGTGTATTCTCTCTCCTTGCTTTTGGGTTTCTACATCTCCCAACAGAGGTGCCTAAAATATATGACTCATTGCCAAAGTCCTATTCAGCTAAACCCCAGTGTCATGTGAAGTTGACAGAACAACCCACCAAATTAACCTGTTTTTCTAACACTTAACAACTCCTAGATGATTTACAAGGCACATCAGTCTAACCAGAAGTGACTTCTTCGGTAACTTTAAGAAAACATTTAAAAAATTATTCTGCTATTTGCAAACTATGTTCATTCAATTTATACTGTTATTTCCCATTTCTCATTTAAGTCACTTGGATTGTCACTTTAGAATCTAAAAAAAGCCAGTGATAGACAGTATTCCACTTGATTTACAGTTAATTGCTTCTCTTTTCCAAGAAGACTAAACAGGTCACAAAATCAGCAGAGATTAAATGTTAATTTGGTTCATGTCAATAAAAATCAACCGGGCGATTAACAAACCAGACTTTTAGCAAAATAAAGTGTGCATTGATCACAAAATGTCTGATCTGAACAGAGTATCTCATAAATTGATTCTTACACCTATTGTTTAGATTTCTGCATTACTACTACCATCCTACTCCAGGTGGATCACTTGGAGTAAACAGATTTTTAATGAAACACAAGGCAGTACAGTTGCTGACATCAGATCTGTCCATTTTAAAGTCTAATCTAAATACCAAGTACCCACATAAACCTGTGGCAGCTGGGATCAGGCTTCAGACCAAGTCTAGAGCAAGGCTTGAATTGGTATCTTTGTAACGGGAAAGAGCCTTACCCATTCTGGCATCCCACCTAATCTAAAATCCAGGAGATCTGGCAGCATAATTAAAAGGAATCAATTGTTATAGCCAGTTCTTTTAGACAAACGATTACAGAAAATTGCAGATGGCAAATGTACAAGCGTCTTGGGTAGCACAGAGAGCAAAGGCACTAAGAATGAATGACCCTCTCGCCGTCAGAGGTTGTTCAGACCCAATGACAGCACAGTGAGGGAAGACCACACTGTCACTGCTCATATGAAACATCATCTGTGAAAAGGCGGCCTAAATTTCCTTTTGCTGCCAATCTGAAATCCCCTCCCAGCATTCAAACAGCTAAACCCCTCTCTTTTGCTGCTTACAGTTCTTGAACCCAGGGCCTGAAACTTTTTGGTACGTTACAAACAAGTGTCCTAATATGAGACTGAATAAGAAAATACTATATTGGAGACAGGGAGTATTTATTTTGAGGGCACTTTTTTGGGGAAAGAGAGCCATAATTGCATGCATACTTGATTGGACAGTTGGAGAAGGAACCTGCCCATAACAGTAAAAATATCAGGAGCTTTAAAAACAACCACACATGTGCAAATACACCTGCTGGTGAACTATTTACATAATGAAGTGAAAACAGTCTTGAAATACTGAGTTGAGAATGTAAATACAAAAAACAGAAAACAAAGCTTCCATACTTCTTTCCTCATGGACTGCTGAAAAATGGAACGAATTGAGAGACAGCAACGATAGAAATTCTCAATTAACTGAGGGTGGATGGAGCCACCGAGCTGTGCTACTTCTTTGTGAGTTGGCGTTATAAAGATTCCTTGCATTGTTTCCAAAAATAGATAGTGGAAGAGGGTATTCTCAGGACCAGATGTCAACCTTCAAAAATAGGAGAATTCATTTACTATTCAAATAACTTTGAAACAAATTTCAGTTAAACATACACTTTTGTTTCTTAAGACCAAATTGTTTTTCTGGTAACTACAATGGACTACAAAAATGGATACAGACATTCAAAAGGTTTCTATTTCTACACCAAGGAAATCTTTTATTTGAACTTCCCAGGTCACATATACGTGGGACATGCATAATACATTCTACTGACACATTCTTGAGAAAGTCATCTTTTCTAATTAAGCTCTCCATTTAAGAGCTTTGAGAATACTTGCATAGCAAAGTTTTGGTTAGAATAAAACTATGCAGGAACTTCTGTGATCTGTGCATATTCAAAAAAACTATCCAAGTGTTGCATTAAAAATTAAATGCTGAATAAAAAATAATTTCTCACTTGATAGTGTTAAGTTCTGTATCTTTCTCCGAAAGGTTCTTTTTGAGGTTTCCTAAATGAAATGGATTTGGTAGGGTATGTTTTTTTCTAGTGACCTGAAAAACAAACAGATAGATGAACTAACAGAGAAAAACACAGCTCACAACAGAATCAAACCAACAAATCACCTACTTAAAAGGTAGTAACAGCATTTTTGAAAAGGCCCAAACAGTTGCATCAACTTATATAAATGTAATTATAGCCTGTTTTAAGTTGAAATGAATTAGAAGCAGTTGTACAACTGTACAGCAATTTGTTCTGATAACTTATGTTTACACCATTATTATTTTGGGAATATTCTCCAGTTATTTTTGCTGATTCCAATGCAGCTGTGTCCATTTTAGTCATGTGAAAACACAAATATTTAGAAGCAATGATAAAATAAAAAAGTGTCAGCTGTGAGGCTGACCCAAAGCTTCCCAAGGCAACAGAAGTATTTTCTACTGAATGTGGGGGCTCTCACAATTTAGGTTTTTTATAGTATACTTTATTTTTTAAAAAAAGTTACTTTAGTTAGAGTTTTTTTAAAAATTGCTACCTCCCCCAAGCCCACCAGAACTTTATCAATTCTTTTTGTGTTTGTTCTCAGACCTGATCCACTACACACTGTGGATTACTGCTTTCATCTTCTGCAGGACCTTCGGTACCGTGGTCTGGTCCTCCACTGTTTCGCGTAGGGCTCGGCTTACGTGTCATTAAGGAAGAGTCTCCAAATAGGCTCCTTTTGCTTGCTGGAGTGGTTACTGATTTGGAAGTATTTTGTAGCTTGCTTAGGATGGGTGAGGTGGTCGAGCTCTCTACTTTGTCACGCGTTGCAGGAAGGAACCAGTCAGCGCAAGATAAAGGTGGAATGGAAGGAGAATCTAGCCTTTCCTCTATGCTGGCATCTATTCCTTCCAGTTGAAGTATAGTGGCTTTGACCTGATCTACATATATACAGTCTGGTCCTGGATTCCCAATAGCTTTGGATGCACAGCCTCCTGCCTCTAGCAGGACACACAGCATAAAGTGTCTCTGTGAACGCAGAAGTAGCAACATTAGCCTTTGGTTTAACATAACAATATGTGCTGTATTATATTTATATCTCATCTGATACAGGGGCAAAATACAGTACTATATTCAACACTCCTTCCTCATCTCCAGAGAGTTAGTTATTTTTTTGCTAATCAAATCATGTTCAAGGAGATCTTTGTTATGTTGCTTAAGTTAATCATGCAAACATAAAAGCTATCACTTACAAACTCATTAGTTGTTTGCTTTAAAAAAAAAAATCCACATTTAAAAAATGCAAACACATTTCTGAAATAAGTTGTCTGAAAATACAAAGTAAAAACATTTTCAACCAAAGTGGAAAGGCATAAAAATAACAAGAATTTACCCTTACACTTGCAAGCTTTACAAAAGTATAAAAAATGCTACTCTCTGAGAAATTCTATCCCAAGAAACAGCTATGATATGAATATTTTTGTAAAATTACTAAATAAAATGCAGGGAAAGTGTTGATCTTACTGAACAATGGACAACACACAACAGCAAAACAGAGCATCAGAGAACAGGCATACTGCAAATGTTAACTTACCAAGCCTACTATCAGTAAAAAGTATCTTCCTTCAGGTTCCCTGTATCCCGTAAAACTTGAATCTTCACATGGCTGGATATGATGATGTGGAAATACTTCCCGCCATATCACTAACTGACCAATCTTTTGTTCTGCTGCCAAGGGTAACAGACAATAGTGCCGACAATATAAACCTATATCAATAAGATCTTCCTTTGGCAAGTGATTACCAATCAAGTAACCCTTAATTAAACACAAAAAAGGAAGCATATTCAGTAAGAAATACACCACCACCACTTATCACTTAAGACTACTTTTAAGATATCCATGCTCCACGTGCGTTGAGATTGTAAGCTTTCTGGCCAGAGACTGTCTTTTTGCTATACAGTTGTACAACAGATAAACACCGAGCTTTTGCACCACATCTGAAGAATCAAAATACTGAAATATAACCAAATAAAACATCAGCATATATGCCAGTTATCAAGGGTGAGCAGGGAAATGCATGGCTTTAACAGCTTGCAAAACAGAGTTAAGGTGCTTTAATTCTCTCTCCAAAGATACTGAGCTTTCACTGGAATTAATAAAATTTCCAAAGAACATACACAGTACAACAGTCTTCCTAGCACTTAAGGGCATTACTGTGCAGTTCCATTTGTGCTAACAGTTTAGTCTCATAATTGCATAATAAAATCCTTAAAATGTAAGTTTTCTTAAAGCAAAGGCTGTTATTTTCCTCTTCATACTGTTGAATACACTGTCTACATTTAATAGAGATAAATAAGTCTGCAAATGAGGCCAAAGTGAAAAAAGCTGTCAATCCAATTTCTCAAGTCTTTAAATCACAGACAGATTAAAGATAGATCACTTGTTACCTGTATTAAAAAAGAGCAATGAACAAAAAAATTCCTATTAGAGTATCATACAGTCTCACTTGAATTGACTCTTACTACTTTCTTATTACTGTCTCTCTCCAATCCTTGGATCATACAGCACAAAATTCCCACAGAAGAGTTTCAAACAAGTATTTTGTTCTTTCTGATCATGCAGTACATATCACTTCCTGACCTTTTTTTCTGTTGTGGTGTTTGAGTGTTAGGTCTGTTACTAGAAATAGATGTTCAAAGCAGTCATGCATTTTTTTCATATTTGTGAGGTTCTGAAAAGAGTTACTCCATGGCTGGGTTAGATTACTGGATGCATTTTCCTAATCTTTAGACCTTAATCACTAATACTACCTTGTAGAAGAGACAAGAGCCCATAATCATATATAATCTTCTCATGTCGTAATAATCTTCAGACTGTGGGGAAAAAAGCATGGTATAATTTTTAATTCAGTTTTTAAATTTTATTTACCAAATGCAAGTCAGCTAATTCCAGTCAATTGTAATCAATCTTACTAAATACTTTCATTTTTGACCACTTCTTATTATCAGTACAGCACTTAATACTGAACAGCTAAGTGAAATAAGTTTTTAGCCGCCATTATTGATTTTTGTGTCACTACAATTTTAAGCTCAAAATAAGAACTAAGCAAGAATTCTGTTATCTGTCCATAAACTATTTTTGTTAGGAGACGCTAATTCTCAGAGTTCTTAACAGGAAAGTAGCTGAAGCATAACTATTGACACCAGAGGCCCTCTTAGAGTAAAACTTCCAAGTCAAAGCATATTTTTTTGCAGTATTTGTCATTTTACCCAAAATGCACTCATTCATTAATCTTTTAATCTAGATGCCCAGTGCTCTCAGATTAGTAACACTATCTTTAGGTGGATATAGTGTGTTTTAAATGAAGCGGGTACAATCAATTTCTGTGCAATAAACTACAACTTCTAAACATTGCTTTCTGTAAATAATCATCCAGGTTTAGCACAATGATTTTTTTTCTTATTATTCTTTTGCAAGATGGACTATGTATCTGCCTACCTTGTATTCTAGGTTTTAAGAACCATTAAGTATCTTTTGTAATTAAGAATATGTATGTCCCAAATTGTTACACTGAATATGTGATCAAACAAGTTCGCTTTATGCTCAATTATAATATACCTATAAAGAATATAATTTTAAAGTAACTGGTCTGGAACATGAGTTTAAGAAAGCTCTTTCATTAGAAAGTAAAACTGAAATTTCATTGTTTACACCTCACTGTCCTATACAGGACAGTAAAGAGCATGCACAGCAAGTGCATGGTTACTGGTGCTTAAGTAAATTATTATTTTCTCCTTTAACAGTATTAAAAATATGCATGATTTGTAATTGCTTTCTGTAAACTGGAAAATTATGTTCTCAGTGGTCCAGAGAAGTTTTCAGGTTTTTCACAATTGCTTGGGAAAGAGACAGTTATCTATACAAAAATAGAAATGTAACAACAATCAGCTGTATTGAAATTAGAGCATCTTTGTAGGCATCCCATAGATTTAAATGATAGTAAATCATGGGTTTTCAGTGACTAATCCTATGGTAACAGGGTTATAAAATACGGTTATAATGTTAACCGTGGATAGAAATTCAGGATAAAAAGAACAGGTAGAATGGAGCTATCTTAAAACAAGCATAACAGAGTATAGGTTTGCTTTGACTCCCACTTAATTAAAAAAAAGTGGATGAGTTTGGAATTAGTGCTTTTTTAAACTACTGAATATGACACCAATGCAAAGAGATACTGTGCAATGCTAACAATAAACATAAAATGTTTACCAGCTCTGCAAAGTCAGCTGCTTCCAGATCACTCAGTGCTGTGTCAATTTCCATCTGAAATATTTAAACAGCACATTTTAATAGAGATTTCCAACACATTAACTTACAATAATAGCATAGTTTGCTCTATCTTGCTTGTCTCAGAAGATTAGGATTCACAAGTACAAAGTCAATGGATAAAAATTTGCACATACTTTTCAGTAGTAATATCAAATATCAAGAACATCTAAATTTGTCAGGTTAAAGAAAATTCCTTCTTAATTGCTGTGTATTTCCCTCTTGTTTGAAACTAAAATTTCTCTGCTTGTGTGCCCACTGAACCCACTGCTCAGTATAAAGGAGATGTCACTCTTACTTTCAGCGTGCTTTAAAATATCAGGTCTAGAGACAGTTCAAATCTGGCAAGCTACTGTATCCAACTGAGTTATTGGAAAAATCTTTTTCACAATGGATTTAGTTTTTGTCTCTATGGAAATTGCCAAAACTCTCTCACACATTAACTTTGTTGTACTGAAGCCACTTTAAGCTCGTTTATTTCTCTAACTACAAGAGCTGTTGGTTAATATAAGTTTTACTAAAAACACTTCCCTTTAAAGAACACAGTACTAGGCACTGAAATTCATGACATAAATGTGCTACTTAATGAAAACAACCTAAACCCCATCATGACAAACTTCTTTGGCTGTATTAACAGCCTGCCTCTAATTGAAATACAGCCAATTTTTCAAACAGAGAAATGCCAGCAAGGCCATTGGCAGTTGACAACTAACCAGTCTCTCAGCTTTTCCCCAGTTAAAATTTAAAGGGCTTTCTGCCCAACAAAGAACTGACATTTTTAGGTTTATATTCCTTACAGAATATAAAGATCTTCACCAAAACTTAACTGGAATCTTCTGCAACAAAAAAATTTTTCTGGAAAATGTGGATGATCTCAGACAATTTTGGAAAGCAATGACTGAATCATAAATATAAACTCTGTTGTTTTCTAATTAAAACCACCAATTTTACAAGCAAGAAACAACCTGCAAGCTAGACTAGAGACTAAAGCATAATAGAGTCTCTCTACAGAAACTTGAAAGAAAAAAAAAAAAGCATGAAGGAAAAAAAACCTTGATCACCAAATAGTACAAGAAAAAACCTGCCATTTCCTGGATAGGGGGAAAAAAAAAATGTATGACAACAGTTAGAAGTGGTCTAAGTTGCATTTCAAATATATACTAGGTTGCTGACTGACCATATTCTACAACTATGTGTTGCATAAACATTCTATTCCCTTTTATTGCATGGATTTTGCAAGTGAGTGGATAGGCGTGTTACGGGACTATGTGCACACCTCTGCATTTGTCACCTGGATAGTAGATTTAGCTCTAGAGTTACGACATGACTGCATTTCATTAAATACCTACAGTGTAGATAGTCTCTATTTGAGCTAGTCCTTTCACTTCAGGGTCTCTTCATAGTTAATGCAGATGAAGTCACAGGAATCCTAAGGCACAACTCATTTAATACTAAAGTAAACAACTGAAGTCGAGCAGTTGAGTTACTATCAAAAGTACCAGATTTTTCCCATTAAATAATAGGAAGAGTCCAGGATTAGCACTTCAACTGCAGGCATCTATATCATAGCTCTAAAAGATGGCAAGATGGATGCTACCCCAAGTCGTTACAAATTCAATAGTGAAGAAGCCTCATTTTGTCTCATTTTTAACCTTATTTTGCTACGAGGCTAAAATCCTAATTAAGGAAAAAACCCTCTATAGGATTAAAATAAGAAACATTAATAAAACGTACAAGGGAATGACAACTATTAATACTGATGAAATTACAGAAATTGGAAGGGGGGGGGAAAGCTAGGCAAGAGCCAGGGTACTTTATCATCTTCAGGGAGGTACCATATCGTCCAGGGAGAACTTTCATCTACTTTGTGCCACACAAAAGTCCCAGAAGGTCTTTCTGATGAGAACTTAAAAGCAATCATTTAATGATCACCATGTCTTTAAAGTACACAGTGATTTCTGTATTTCCAGTATAATTGAAAATAAAGCGGCAAACTGGTCCTAGTGAGACCCAGTTATCTACAACTGAACCTACTGTCAGATTGAAACAAGTTCTAGCAATGCTTTACACGGAGCACATAACCCTTAGGCAGGGATGCTAAATCACTTTATTATAAACTGTAATATGAAAGCAGAGAAAAAAGTTGGAAACTACAATCCTTTTGAAAGAGTAAGGGAAGTCTTCTGGTTTGTTTCTAAACCAATGCAAACACAGTTGTGTTATTAAAGAACGTATTTTACACCATAATTAACAAAAAAACGTCCACAGGGGCTTAAAAAAAGAGATTGGAAGATGATCTGGATTCACAACAGGGAAAAAAAGAATTATACGAGCAAAAACATTTCAGAGGAACTTCTGTACATAAGACAATTACCAGCTTTTGTCCTAAATGTAATTTTATACCCATTTTCCCCTGCGTTCTCTGAGGATTGTACTTTGTTCACTTTGCAGAACTTACTACATTGATAAAAAGTATTAGAAGCTTGTCTGCCAACTACTGTACAACATGGCTAGGTCTTGCTTATCTGTACAGAGCCAAACTATGCTGGAACTGTGTTCTAGAACCTGCCACCCAGTAAGACAAAGTTTTTCTAGTTGCAAGCGCTGTTGCAGACTTTGTTTTCCATAATTCACACTGAATTCAAATTTCATTTGGTGTAATTCAAACGAATATGTAATACCAAATAACATTATTTCTCAATAAATGAAATATGTGCTCGTCTTAACAATTCCACTGCTGAAATCTCCTTGGGATTGTTTTCTCTTGTCCAAAAATTGTTACAATTCTTTCAAATTGGAGAAACATCACTTCTACGTATTTTGGTCTAAGAACCTCAATTCTATGGTGTATATGAAAAAAACACTTCAGAGAAGACTTGACAGGGATTATGCATTGGATGTATATAAAATCTCATCTTTTTCTTTAAAAAATATTATTTACTAATAATTATCCTAATAATCTCTATTTTAACTTTTTAAGTCATGAAAATGAGGTTTAAGACTGAAAGCTATAATGCTATTTACTGTGATCTAGCTTTTGTCTTACTACTGCTTAAAGCACAACTCAATTTCTAATTGGAAGGTAACCAGACACAGTGAAGTGGTGCAGAAAAGCTGTACTTGTATGCTGTCAAACAAATTATGTATGGATATTTATTTTGATTCTGCCACAGCCTTTTATAACTCTCCTAAATTACAAGTTACACATGGGCTTTCGGAGGAGTATTTTCTACCTGGGAAAATACTTAAATGGTCAAAATCAAACATAAAGCTACGTACTAGTGGCTGCTTTCCATAGTGCATATGCTATTTCTCAGAGATGTGTGTGTATATGTGTATATTAAATAAAGTTTAATTCCTGTATCATCATGTTCTCTTCCTAGATAACTCTGAAGTCACCAAACTACCCTCATAATAGCAATCTATTTCCTGTGGGAACAATTATGTAGTTCCAAACTGTAAATACAGGATCCTGTAGCAAAGGGGGCGTGTCTCAGACAGCCAAAGCACTTCCATCAATTAAAAAACAACAGCAGAAGATACCTGCATCAATTTTCTGGCCTATGGTATACAATTTTTTCTAGAAAGATCTGAAGATGACATTACCTTTATTTCCTGAGGCAATGTCAGCCAGCGCAAGCCTGGGAGATTGTCTAAGAATAATGCACTGCAGGTATCATAGTGTTGAGCACCGGGACTGGCGTTTGACTTGAGTCTTGCAGGCTGAAGCGCACGCTGGAAGAACAGGTTGAAAAAATGATCCAGGCGAGAAACATTTTCCACCTGGCAAAAAGCACTGAACAAACATGAACTCCAAGTTAAAATAACATCAAGAAACTTGTAGCTTGTTTATATAACCCTCTGTGCTATAGAAGTCTTTTTACAGCATGATACTACATTGAGATTTTTTTTCTTTAACTGAAAAACCCACTAGGCCAATATCTAGGCAGTACCTACAAACAAAGAAAAACACTGCCTTGCTGAAAGCAGTATATCTTAGATCAACTTAATATGAGAGAATGATCAACTTCATCCTTTTGGAAATTGTTGGGTTTTTTTTTTTCTTTCTTTTAGTAATTTAACTATTTTTGGTGTGTAACAGATCTCGTCAGTTTTTTCAGAAGATGCAAAAAAACCATTCAACTGTTCCAAATGGTCTATACCTCTACCAAAATCAAGTACTTGATATCTCACATTCAAAGCTAATTTTTCTGAGATGCATTTAAATAGTTGCAGGTATTAGAAGTTGCTCCTTGTCATGAAGTGACATAAAAAAGGTCATAAGAAAGATAAGGCCTGACATTACATGAGATTGTTCTTTCTAGAAACTTCTATGCTGTTCAACACAAAAAAAGGAATACAAATATTAGGCTTTTCTCTATGGCATACACACTTTAACCCTGAATTGAATGTCAGCATATGAGTAGCCTACCTTGGCAATTTTATTTAGGTTACAGTCAGACTGAAAATTTTCTGGGTTGTTTCCAAATGCATAGAAAGACAGTCACTCTGCCGAATAAAGTTGTGAAGTCTGGAGTGTTTACTTTATTAAAAATATAACACTGATTCTATATGTAAGTTTTACAGACGGTGCTTTAACACAAAGGATAACATTTGCAGAATGCTGTTGATATCCACAATGACTTAGTTTTCCCTTGATTAGGTTAAGTCTTTCACATAATCTCTCTGAAGTAACAAAGGCTGTTTAAAAAGAATCTTACTAATGTTAAGACTGAAACAAAAAGGCAAGAAGAACAGAATCCAGTTTTATTGTGCAAATGTAAAAGAACATGCAAAGAAATTCCACGTAAACATTAAAAATGAATGCTACTAGCTGTCTTTTCCAGTGAGCATCAGTGAAAAATTAGTGACTGAGAAGAAAATACTTTTGGAAGAACTGACCTGTCTAAAGAACTGTACATAAATTTCAAGGTCCTGACAACATCTTCAATCATGTTCCTCAGCTGAGAAAGTGGCACACTAAAAGATAAAATTCAAACACACATCTTAGCATCTTTACTATGAATAAGCACAGGCATCTTCTGAAGAGCTGTATTCTTAACTGGTGTTATATCGCAAACAAAAAAAGAATTCTTCATCAGCCTGTATGAGGTATTTCCTTTGAGTGACTTGCCCGTGATGACACAGTAGTAAAGCTGAAAGGGGAAGTCCTCCTAGAACACATAAATATGTAATATTACTGCTGTTATTCAGTAGTCTCTAGACTACTAGTCTATTCAGTAGACTTTACCAAACACTGAAAACTACTGTTTTCTAGCCTACACGTATTTGACATCTAACAAGACCTTATTCCCTTTAGAGAAAATGAAAAAGAAACTGCAACAATGGATATATAAAAGATGTGAACAACGTCAATCAAAAAAGTGGAATCACAGGTACAGAAACTAGTTATAGTAAAGAGTACGCTGTAAGCCCTCCCTTTCTTCCTTTGACGGGTTCAATTTGAGGACACATAATAGGAAACAAAAGGGAAACAAAGCATTTTATTTGAAACTCACTTTTCTTCAGGAAGGCCAATTACAAGCAACTTGTCAGATTCTTTCCAGTAAACAACTTGAACCAGTTTTCCACATAAGAAGAGGGAGGAACTAGAAAAAAAATCAAGCCAGAAGTACTTCTGTTAACACTATGAAGTTATAACAAGACCACCAATATAAGGCAGAATGATTTATATGTATTTTATATGCAAAGTCTTATGCTCATATATAATCACATGCATGCAACTGAGCTAGGTAATTATATTAATTATTACAGAACTCAAAGACACTCTGATTTCTATTCCAAACAGATCACACCAGTAGTAACAACGTTTTCAAGTACACAAATGTAAAGGATGAACAGCCGCTACTGAAGTGCTAGTCATCTTCCGAATGATTCAGATGCTCTTTAAAGGTCTTCCTGGCATACACCTGCCTAGCTTTTAACACAATCAACTTAGATCACACTGAGGTACCCAGAAGTACTAATGAAGGTTCTGAACATAGTAATCACTCACAAAATCATTTAAATAGACTCCACACCTTTTGAAAACAAGCCCAAGAGGTATTTGAACAGATTACCCAAGTGATAAACATAAACTTCCAACTCTCATGTTACCTCCTTGTACAGAAGATTGTTCTATGAAGCTCAGCAATCCCAGAAAGACAGAGAGGACTTTCATTTGAACCATAAAAAGTAGATTAGAACATGAATCAGAATGAGACCCAATGTTCTAATTAGCAGCAAACCATACACTAGGCACCAGATGATCAGATTAAATGTACTGGTTGCTGCTAAAACCAAGATCTGTAAATATCTCGAATGCTAACTTTAAAACAAAACTCCACCTTTCTTACTGTCATGTTAGAAATTTTAAATAACAAGATAACACTGCTGCAAAGTGAAAAAAGGTAACTTTAGTTTAAGCTTGAAAGATTGAAGAATTTCATTTTTGGGACATGGCTCCATGATTAACTTGCTTCTCTGATTCACTCATACTGTAAAATTGATGGTACTGAATAAAACAATAGTGTCATTCATTAGTTAAGAAATACTTTAGTATTTCCACAGGTCACCAGAAAATTTTTATCCTTCATGTAACCAAAAGTGCTTTCCAAACACAACAAGTTATATATTTATAGCACAGTTAACTACAAAGAAGTAAACATCCACATCCCAAAAGATATACATGTGCAGACACAATAATAATAATTCATTCTTCTGACAGAAAAAGCTTCATAGGAGAGCTGGGGATTATCTGTTTTGTCTTTTCTAAGTGATGAGACAGTCCACAGAGTCCAGCAGAATATATTTTTAGAACAGTCCAGCTTTTATATTTTTAGAACTCAAAAATAGGAAATTGAGAACCTTAACAGTAACAATCTACATTATCATAGATTTCTGTATTGTTTTTCTGATGATACCATACGTATAGATCAAACAACGGATTGATTTGTCTTTTAGATGTGTTTGAAAATCTGGACATGTCCAAAAATGCTTCTATATGGGAGAATTGCCATTAATAATGCATAAGCATTTAAGAGGAGTTAACATACCTCAGTGCTAATTGATGTGGCATTGCCTTAAAATACTGGTATATGCAAGAGATGAAAACCCTGTGTTTGATACCTGCTGCTAAAGGAGTCAATCCACATTCCTACTGATCACTAAATCAGTAACAGGATTTTCAGCAACTTATTAACTAGAAAGTTATAGGCATAGTTAAAGCACGGTGTTAAAATTTCTTACTCAAAACAGCAGGATACCAACAAATCTGAGGAAAAAATAAATTAAAAGAGATATAAACAAAAGTAAATTATCCAGTATTAATTTTCTGGTAAGCAAAAAAATATTCAAAAGCACTTGAACTTCTTTTAAAGAAAAATTTATCAGTGGAAAGCCTAACTTTAATGTATTAAACAGGCTCTTTGCCTTTTGAGGAATTCCTTATTACTGCCAACGCTGTTCACTACTCCTGCATTACTGCTTGCACTCTCTATTTTTGGGCCTGAAATCCCACTTATATTTGACTTTTTTATACCAGTCCAGGTCTTGTGTCTGACACACAAGGCACTGATGTACAGAAGAGAATCTTGCCTGAGACACCCCAAGAAATGCAAAACTCATATATTGATTCTCAATGGGAAGAAGCTTGAAACTAAAAAGTGGAACCTGCTCACTTCTAATTATTCCACCAGAAAATCATCTATCTTTAAATATTCAATAATCTCTTGACATATCTCCGTCACCCCCTACACTCTCCAAAAACTCAAGAGTCATTTTTATTAGACTTACTGGAGTCCTGGTCTGTGGATACAAACATCTTTCAGGTGTTGCAAGTTGAATGTTAAAATTAATTTAGAAGTAGCAGGCACTCCTGAATTTAACTGAATTACATTCTATCTTTTTAATTTTTTTTTTTTAAATTTGATTGAAGCTGTTGTAGAATGTCCTGTCTGCCATAGTACTGTGCCACAGAATCCCAGTTTAGATAAGGATGTTTTAAGGGATTTGAGAAGGGATCTAAAAATAATTTCACTAAACTAAAAATTCTAGTCATTGCCACCATGACAAAGAAATTCCCCCAAATCAATGCATATCCAGGCTCAGCAGTCCCACTTCAGACATGCTGTTCTAGTTAAAACATTACTGTCTAACAGGTTCAGATTCACTCTTATCTACAATTTGATGCATGACCCACGTGTGTTTTCTGTACACATATGTGTAAAATAATAAAAGTAGTAATACATTACATTTCAAATACTTTTACCTGATAATCTGGGTACCAGTAACACTTTCCAGTATGTCAGACAGTGTGAGAAATATTCCCCTCACACTTTTCAGTTTTTGGGATGCTTCTGATATGGGGTACTGATAAAGAATTTCTTGCTGTGAAGAAAGTTAGCTGTTAATTAAGTAAAACAAAACAAAAAAAAAATCACCATAAACCACCACCCCCCCCCAAAAGATAAGAGGTTTTTTCCAGCATCAATTTTTTTGTAAACATGAAAGCTTTCATCATATACTTTCACATGGTATCAAAACAAGCAGTGGTCTGCACAGGCATAGTGGAAAGTTCTAAAATGCACATGAATGCGTCTGACAGTTTTAACTTTTCTATAAAATAGAGAAGTAGGACTTACTTAGAATCATTATTACATAAAGAAACATAAAATGACAAACAGTATGGCCACTGCATTTTACAGCTTAAAATATACTCTTAACAAAACTGGTTCGAAGATATAGCTAATATTTGTGTGGTTCTTTCAATATTTAACTTACAATTTAAATCAGCAAACACACAGTTCTTTAAAGCCAACAATAAGAACATTGAATCTCCAGTGCCTCTATATCACCTTACCTAATTGCTTTACATGTACAGCACAAAATATAACTGAGGTAGATACTCAAACAACAATATATACACCATTAACAATTTTATCACCAAACCTCTGACCATCTGTGTCAGCACACTCAAGTCATCTTGAAACTGAAGATCAGTAGAGATAAATGTCACAATTATTTTTCTTTTTCTAACCAGTTCTTTAAAATAAATGTTCTATGAAAGCATTGAAAAGAAATTTATATTAATTATTTCAGCAATCATAACAATATAGTAATAAGCAAACATCTGATTCCCCACATACATTGTTTTCTGGCAAATCATGATGGGCCAGAAATAATCCCTGTAATATTAAGCCTATCCAGCGCAAAGACCATTGAAACAAAAGAAACACAGACATGATTCACTTTCCTATTTATGTCACTAAGCACATCCAGCCAGTGCCAATTCCCGTTGGAAATTTTTCCCTCGTCAAGATTAAAACATAAAGTTTCATTACAGAAGGGCCTGGCAAACTCTTCATTCTTATCCAATTTAATTAGCTCTATTTTCAAATACGCATTAGCAACAAGGATTTTTTCTTTCTTGAATCAATCCCTCAGCTGGAAAAAACCTGCCATTTTCTAATTACAGCACTACAAAGGGCTAGAAAGACCCTTTTTTTCTCCTCACTGTGAACCAGGGCCTTTACACAAAATTCATTTGAGAATTATCTGTACACTTTCCCAGGGAAAGAAAAGACAACTGTAACAAAAGGTCATAGCTGCATCTTACATATAGATTAATGAGTTAGCAAAGTTCAGCACATACTGCCATACAAGATCAGCTGTCTCCAAAGCAAGGCAAAAGTTCATAGGCCAAGGACAATGGAATTAATAAATGAGAAGTTGCTCATTTCTTAAAAAATGTAAACCCTCCCTCAACTCAAAAACCTCAAACTTGGACAGACTGTCTAAACTAATGGTTTATCAAACAGCTTCCCTTCTTTATTTTTATTTTACTCATTTCTCAAACTGAGCTTAAATAACATTTAAAAAAAAATACCTAGTGCAGTCTTGAGAACCTAAGAAACAGCTCAAAGAAATTGTGTCAAAGTGGTGCCGAGCAGCTAAAAACCTCCTATAATCTTCACAGGGCACTGACAATAGGTGCTTTAAGTTGCATCTTATGTAACATTAACAAAGAGACAATATATGCAAAGATGACTATGAATTCTTAAAGATTCATTCAGAAATTGCAAAATCAGAGAGAAATGCTACAGAAGTACAAGTCAGTGTCTGTATGAACTGAGCTATCTCATCAGCTACTCAGTAATACCTACTTTGCAGGTGTGCCAAACCCATGCTGCCATTAACACTATCACAGAGGAAGAATACGAACATTACTTCTTTTAAAACATTGTATTGCCAAAATGAGTTCAAACATGAAGATGTTACAGTGTATGCTAGTACAAATAACGTACGTTATAATCATAATACCTAACTTAAACTAAAATATAAAAAAAGATCAACCTTACTCACTGAAACCATTATCCTATGGCACACTCCCCACATGCATGCACACATGCTAAGTTACTTCTTAGAGCTCATTAATTCTACTTTTTGATGCCAAAAGCTCACAAGTAGAAGAATTGGTTACTAGTTCTAATTGCCATTGTTTACATGGATGTGATCTGCATACCATGCCTCCTTTGGCTATCAGTAAAGCAGCTTAGTAAAGGACCATTTTATTTTTTATTGTGCAGTATGGCATAGGTATATACTAACAGCAGTGCTAATTTGAAATAGTGCTGTAAACTAGATCTGGAACAGTACATGCACAGGATAAATGTCGTTTACTATTCACCAAATGAAATTAAAGACAAATGCCTTGAAGAAGGCGACATTCTTTTGTTAGGAAATGTTATAAACAGCTTGATTACACTCACAAAGCATCTATCAACATTACAAACTATTTGGGGCTGCATAACTGCCAAGACTTCTGAGGAAACAATTCTTCCATGGTATAAAGGGAGAACAAGTGCATTACAATCCCTCTTTACCTCTGCTCAACATTCAGAGTTAATCCTGTTTCGTGGGAGGCTGTAAAGAAATAACGGGGCAAGAAAGCAGTACTCCATTTACTCTGAAGTGCAGGAATTGCAATTAGGCATTTGCGTATCTATTCACCTACCAACAGAGGAGCCAGAGGCCCTGAAATAAATTTTTGTTTTAATATGTCATAAAGTTTATGTAAGTGACCAAGAAAACACTGGTCTTTAAGTCTGCAGCAATTGTCCGTAGCTGTTCTATCCACATAACATAGCGGTCTTGGACTTCAAACTTAGAATTGAAGAAAAAAAAAAAAAGAACTACTTGCAATATGTAAGTGACTTTTGATAAAATATCCTACATTTATTTAATTCACAGTTAAATGAGCTCTTTCCATTTTTATTATAGGGAAATACCACAGCAGAAAAATACCACAGTATCATATGTTTTAATGGAAGCAGTCTCCAGGTGGGAAAAAGAGCACAGAATGACCTTGCCTAGTTACAATGCTATTAAAAAACAAAATCAAAAACCCCAAATTATAAGAAAGACTTGTATAAACTCATTTCTGCTGAAGGTATCTCCCATGAAAAAATGCAGTCTCTTAAACAGGATTGGAAAGAACTGCAAACCAAAGCTTACAGTGTTAGTATCTTGCTGCAATACACAATGAAGCACACATTACCTTAAACACATTATGTTAAAAGAGCATGATGTATATTGCAAAGGCAAGCATTCCAGAATTATGAAGTACTGGATTAATGGTTGCCTAATAAGCCTTAATTATACACACTCACCTGCCCATCTTGTCCTCTGCACAAGGCAGGCATCTTTCAGAAAAGATCTAATACTTAAAGGCAATGTCATGCTACGTATGTAGCCATAAATCTGTCATTTCCCAGCTTTTAAGCACTTGACTCTGCAAACTTCACAGCATATCATCTAAAAAATGCTATCATGTAATTTTCTAGGGTTCTCCTTCCCAGCCCTGTCTCTAGAAAATAAAATTAAACTCCATTATGTGTAGTTGTAACACTTTCTCTCTATTACACATCACCAGCAGAGCAATACATACTTCAATCAGTTGAAAGACAGTATAAAAAAATAAAGACATCTCAGAGAAGGGATGGAACGCTAACTGGGTCTAAGGATTAATTCCAGGGGAGAGAAAGCAAAACTTCTTTCTTCTGCTCCCCATTCCACCACTGTCCCTTCATCCCAGTCCCTGGGGACTGGCAAAACTTGTGCTTCATTTGATGTCTCCACATCACAGATAATATAGATCACTGGGGCACTGAGAATTTGCAGAAGGAGAGAAGAGTCTTTTTCCAAACGTCTGGTCCTAAAAAGTCCACTGCGTCCATGTTTCATTTTCAGATCAGGGAAGAGGCCAGACTCAGCCCTTCACGTGGTTCTGTGTCTTGCCTGCATTCTGAGTGGAGCATTTGTAACTATGGCTACACCATGAACAACATCTACACAAACTTACAATGGGTTATACGTACAGCGGCAACTTTTTTCTGAGGAACACAAAAAGGAAAGAGATGTGAAAGGAAGCAAGGAAGCTTTTTGGGACAAAGGAAAAGTACTTCAGAAGCTCAAAAATGTTGCCCAAGCAAGAATCAACAGTGGATTGCAAACAGCAGACATGAGAGCCCTCTAAGAAAAGGCACATTAGCATTTCAAAACAGGAGAGGCTAGACAGATTATGTAGGTGGACTGCCAACAGCTCCTGCTGGGGAAAATTTTTTTGACTAGACAGATTTCGTAGTTCAAGTTTGAGAGGCATATTGAAAACATCACAGTGAGCATCTGAGAGACAATAAGGAACTTCTGAATTTCTCTCTGCTTTGTCTGGTAACACCTCTAGCCTGCTCTTTATGTAAAGACATTCAGCAGCGCTGAAGTGATTTCAAGTCCAATTACAGTGATGCTAACTTTTTTCCCCCTGGAATTTCAGGCCTGCCTTCTGTCAAAATGGCCATTGTACAGATTACTCAAAATTATTAGCAAGGTTTTTAATTTTTTTCTTTTTTTACATCAGAATGCATAGCAGTTGCTGTTGCCAGTTGTTACCTTTAATCTTCAGTTTTAGATGGCCACATACCTCATCCTTAGATGTTTCAGAGTCCAGTTTCATTGTGAGGAACATAACAATATGAGGCACGTCTTGTATAGCCTGTTGCAGGTCTGTACCATCTTCTCCCCACAACAGCCGAACCAGATTGTTCATACTTGACTGTGCCTGTTTATACCTTTGCTGAGAAGCTCCTTCAGGCTCAAATATTGATGTTTCAAACGTAAGTTTAACCTATTAAGATAATTAATTGTGAAAATGAGGCTCTACTTATAACTATGTTCTACTATCAGATGAAATAGATGCAGTTTGGGCCCTTTAAGAGATTAAGTTTTCTTAGCTTTACTGACAAAAGATGCAAGCATTCAAAAATTCCT